ACAAGTTTGGGGGAGTTGATATGTTGCATATTTACTTGGTTTTAAGCTTGCATTCTTGTTCATGTTGAGCATATAGATTAGATTTAGGCATTCTTAGGTTGCATTTTGCATTCATTTATCTTTATCAGGTGGTGGAACATGCTATGGAGTTCTTGGAGGTGTTTAGGATCAATTATGTGCCAAAAGAGAGTGCAAAGATGTCATTTGGCGAGCCAGAGCAGCCACAGCGGAGTCAAGAGGTCGCTGCAAGCAACATCAGCCGGAGCGGGGTCGGGAGGCCGCTCCACGCCCACAGCGGACCCCCGGGGCGGAGTCAGGGGGTCGCTCGCGTTCAAGAGAAAAGAAAATCAGCCACAGCGGGGTTGTGACCCCGCTGTGCGTCTTTTATGTGACGAAAAACTTGTTTCCAGGACCTTTTTGCAATTTTCGTTTTTTATGTTTTGAATTTCAGAAACCTAATTAAAACTACGTTGTAAGCCTCCAGAGGCAGATGCTCTTTTGTTCTTGAAGAAAGACTTCTTTGGATTGAGATTTCATTGCTTTCATCTTGTGTTCTTGTTGATTTATTATCTATTTCTCTACATGATTAATCTGAAATCCAATATGGGTTTAAGAGGAATCATGGAGATTAGTGAGTAATCACCTTTTGAATTCATGGGTTAGGGAGATTAAGGGTGATTAGGTTAGATTTAGGATGTTTTAGTGTTAGATTTCTCTTGTTTCTTGCTTATTAGAGTAACCATAATGCCTCTTTTAAATTGATCACTCAAAAGTTGATCTCTAGACATTTCCCACTCACAAAGTGTTCGATGAAATATCTGAGTCAATTCTCTTAACCTTTTAACAGTCTTTACCAGGGACACTTGTTGTTAAAGGTGTTAAGATGGCTAATAGATTTATTCCTAATGATTACTTTCATAATATTCAACCAAAGACATTTGATGCTTGAGTTATGGTAGTAAATGAACATTCATCTAGACATAGAGCTTGTTTAGAATCGTATCTAGGCCTAAGGCAGATAGTTTAATTGATCGCTTGCCATCCTTAGATCGCAACTTGATAACCCCAGGTCAAATTCCCTATACCCATGAGTTATCCTTTATCTTCTTTGTCAAAGTTATATCTTTTATTGCATTCTAGTTATAGTTAATCTTAAAAACCAAACAATCATATAATCGCACTTAGATTAAACTAGTACTTACATTCTCGGTGCTTTTAAATCCCTCAGAACTGGTTCGACAATCATCTATACTACAACATTTATTTTAGGATCCTCAAAAACTCCTAACATCACTAGGGTGACTCGAAACTTGGTATCTGTCTAAATTTTCACGAAGCTTAACCACTGGAAGAATCCTCTTCCATAACACTTTATGCACTCATGGTCCCTTCTTTAACAACAACCATTGCAGCAGGAGTTTCTGATAAAGCATTGCTCACTCCCTCCTGCCTCTCCTCTTTTTTTGAAACATTCGTCATTTCTTCATCAAATAATATAGCCTTACTTGCCTCTGAAGCGGAGACTTGCTCCTTATTTCCACTTTTATTCAACGATAATAAATAATTTAGCCATTTATCTGATAATTTATCATTATCTTCAGAATAATTTAAAAATTCTAACGATAATATCATAGTTAAATTGATATTATATTACTTTAGTAATATTAAAATATTACGTATATGTTATATTATATTTGGTTTGATAATCTTAAACCGGCTGTACTTTAATATTACATATATAAAAAAAAGATAGAATAAATCATCTATCTTTGAAGGTATTTTTAGAATAATAAAAGTCACTCATTGTGATAATTTCTAGATTGTTTTCCAAAGAATTCAAAAGTATTTATACTACTATTTCTTAAGTGATTTTTTCACTCTCACGTTAAAAAAGAAGAGCGTTTAAAGTTTTTACTACCCTTAATAGATAATTAGATTAATTATTTAGTATGTAATTACTCATAAATTTAAAACAAGTTTTATTAATTTGATAATCATCATTATCAAAAAAGATTATATCTTATTTTATCTAAAAATATTGTACATCAAAATATTTTAAAAGAAATATATCCATGTATATAGTTCTACGTATATATGAATGTTTTAGAATTTATTTATGTAATAAATGATATTTTATTAAAATAAAAAACTTATCTTATATATTTTTTTTTAATATTTAGTTAATTATTGGATATTTCAACAGTATGAAATAATATATTCTAATTTTTTTAAGTTAAAAATATATCTATTTACAAAATTGTTAAGCATGTAAGTGTGGGAAAAATACATAGTTTAAAAATATGAACAAAGTTGTTTTTCAAATATGAATGAAGTTGTTTTTCAAATATGAAGTTTTGAATAATAGAGTTTCAGATATGAAATATTACTGTTTAAAATTCAAAATTTAAAGTTGTGAATGTTGTTTTGGAATATGTAAAATTTTATATCTGAAACTATGAAATTCTTTTTAGAGATGCTTTAATAAATGAGAATTATGCTAATATAGAACAAAAAAACAGGTATCATGTCCCCTTAGTATAAACCAACATCAATCTTGTCCTTATAGTATAATTTTTTCTATAATCCCAAAACTAACCCTAGATTAATCTAATTAAATGGAAATTTTAACTAAAACTGAATTTATAAAATGTTTACGAAATTAAAAGAAAAATAATAAAAACAAAAACTCTCCCTGTAACCCTAATTCCCATTTAGTAAAGGGAATGTGATTTAGAGAAGAAAACAAAGGCGACGGAAAGATCCTCTCCACCTCTCGACGGCGGCTGTCTTATTCTCTCCACCTCTCCACCTCTCCACATCTCTTTCTCCGCCGACATCAATCGACTTGTTCTCTCTGCCTCTCCGAATATCTTCCTCTCTGAATCTCTACTGTCTCTTCCAACGACATCTGTAATACTAAGGTAAAGCGACATCAATCGAACTCACTTGTTCTCTATTTCTTCTTTGCATGTTCATCGATCCGGTTCTTTTTTTGCATATGTCTTTCTCTTTTGCTGATTATATGAACCAGTTACGTTTGTGAATTGTTTTACTTTCATGAATTGAGCGTGTGTATAAAATGTTTCTTTTTTTGCAGATTTTTTTAACTGATTTCGGTTTGTTTCATTTGATTTTGTCTCTGTTTCGTTTGTTTACTTATTATATGTGATGAATTGACTTGGTTTGTTTACAATTTGTTAACTTATTTGATTTCCATAATTTTGTAATTGATGTATTAAACCGTAATCAAACTTTTTTTCCTTTGTAGGTATGGATTTAGAGCTACCCAAGCGTTTGTATGGAGAGGGTTTGGAACCTCAAGTTAAGAAGATCAACAACAGCTGCCGGATGGAGCTTCTCGACCTTCTACATGATGCTATGTCTTCGGAGTATGGTGTTGTGAAGAGTGATCCTGTTTTCACACATGTGATGGAAATTGCGAGAAATCGGCTTAAATTTTCTGGTAAACTGGTGCATAGCTTCTTGTGTAAGGAGATTGTTACTTCGAAGAGGCATGAGAAGTGGTTTCTCTTTGGAAGGACGCCTCTCCGGTTTTCGCTTCAGGAATATCATGTTGTCACTGGCCTCAAGGTATCTCAAGACAATGTAAGCGAGGTAGTTGAATGGAAATACGATGGGGGCTTTTGGAGCAACATGCTAAGGAGTGGTAGGAGGATCTCCTTGAAGTCGATCAGGCAAAAACATCTACAAGAAGTTCACAGCTGGACTCGGGTTGATAGGTTGAGGTTGATCTACTTGTGTGTGATCATGGGTGTTGTGATGGGAAGAGATGAGAAGGTCAACATCCCTCATATGTACATCAAGTTGGTGATGGACCTTGACAAGGTTCGTAACTTTCCTTTGGGTATTCACTCCTATGACTTCCTGCTTAGCTCCATTACCAAGACTAGGAAGAAGCTGGAAAACAAGGAGAGCTACATTTTCGAGGGTTTCACCTATGCTTTTCAGATATGGATTATGGAAGCAGTTCCTGATTTTGGAGAAATATTAGGAAAAAGAGTGGCTGAGAACTTCATAGGTCCAAGGTGTGCTAATTGGAAAGGAGCTGCTAAAGTTTCTTATGACAACATCATTCAGATCGAGGACTCGTTTCCTCAGATGGTATGTATATTTGTTCTCGTATTCTCTATGGTTTCTATATATATTTGTGTATAGCTTTTGATGTTTTAATTTTTTTTCAGGGTCAGTTGTTCTCGGTCATCTCATTGAGTGGTAATGATGATGTATCTCTACATGCTGATTATACAAGAAAGCGTGAGATGCGAGATGAACGAGTGGACCTTATTTTGGATAGGATCAGAGATAAGTTTGATTGGAGCAACACAGAATGGAAACCTGTAGAACCTGAAGAGATTGGAATGGAGAAGGCTGACAAAGAGGATATTCACACAGAATCTGATGAGACTGAAGTTGATGCTGATGTGCTACCAGATGTGGAGACCTCTTCAGTTAATGGTGCAGGAAAAGGGAAGAGGAAGGTTCATGATGAAGGAGCCGAGACAAGAAAGAAAAAGTTGTTGTGTAAGCGAGCTTCTGAGAAAAAGATGGGTTTGGATCCTGAAACAAAGCATTTCATAGAGACTCTCGTCCTCACATCTGTGGCGAACTTGGGGGATAGAATTAGTACGCAGCTAGCGAGGATGGATACTGATTTTACAGAGAGGATGGAGATGATAGAGATTGAGATTTCTCAGATCAGAGCTGAGCACACTCCATCGACGAGTAGAGCTGATCCTCCACCTGAGCCCAAAGCTGATCCTCCACCTAAGACCAAAGCTGATCCTCCACCTAAGACCAAATCCGATGAAGCTGCACCAAAGAAAAAGGTAAAACCTAAGCGAAAGTGTAGAACTTGATATACGTGGAACTAGAATGCTTGAGTTAGGGTGCTGGAGCTAGGCTTTTGGAGTTAGGTTGTTCTTGGAACCTCATTTTTTCCTTGTGTATTATTATGTATAATTTCGGATGTTTGTTGTGCTATGGAACTAGTTTCTGTAAAATCTTCTTGTGTAAAGCTTTGTTTGTGAACTAAAAAACATCATCAATGTAATGCTTTGTTTGTGTAATGAAAAATCCATGCTTTTTATATGCTTCTTTGTGTAATATGTTTAGATTGAATGTATTCGTATATGTTGTTTTGTTTTATGAATAGGGCGGGAAAGAGATTGCTTTAGAAACTAATGATTTTGATTTTGGATTGAGTACACAAGATATGAACAAACTGTCCCAAGATACATTTGTTGATGGTTTTGATCCTTCTCAAGTGAAAGTTGAAAAAGTTGAAAAACAAAGTAAAACACGAGCCAAGAAGACGTCCACACCACAGTTACGTGATGAGCTAATACGTCGAGCCGGAGAAGGATCACCGGATGCCCCATTGGTGTATATCCGTGAATCTGATTGGGAAAAAGTAAGAAGTTGGTCAACTTTCCCCACATAAGTAAATTATCAGTTTTGTAGCATGTATTGTTGCAGTTTAATCAATTAGCTTGTTTATGGTTTTGGTTCCTGTTTCAGACCGCTACGGATTGGACCAGCGATTTTAGATCATGAGATGGCTAATCGTCTTATGGATTTTACGGAGTGGCTTTCCAACTTGGTAAACCTTATGGAATATTACCTTTTTATTTGTCTTTTACGTATCTTGTGTGTATTAACATTATCTATATATGCAGGAGATTGATGCCAAGATGTATTTATTCCGTGAGAGAACGACTCTGAAACGATGGAAACCGAATCGTGTGGCTTTCATGACTGTTGTCTTCAGCAATATGATCAAAAAGGAGTACGAGTGTTGGAAACGAGGTAAAAGAGCATATAGTCTTCATAATTTGCTAGTTTAGTTCGGCAAAAGGGTCCTTCCACCATATGGAAGAACACACGAGATATGAAATGTAGATGTGGATCGTTTGTATGTCCCTGTTCACGTCGGTGGGGTTCATTGGATCGCTTTGTCCATTTGTTTCTTGACCAGGCACATTGATGTCTATGATTGCGCGGGTTTAAAAAGGTACAAGGAGGTGGATGGATTTTAAAATCTTGTTCCTCGTATTGTCAAGGCAGTTCAGCCAGAAATATACCAGAAGGATTTCACTGTGGATCTGTATACCGTGACATATGTCCCGATGCCGAAGCTAAATATAAGTGCTTGTGATTGTGGTGTGTTTTCGGTGAAGTTTATCGAGTGTATTGCGCTTGGACTGGATTTGTCGTTAGTGAAAGATGAAAACATCAAGGAAGCTCGCCTTAGGATTTTGTGGGATCTTTGGGAAGCAGCTAATGACCCTGAATTTGTTGAGACGATGGCATTGTATAAACCTCCAGAATGTTTCTCTTCGACTAACACAGAGATTTTGTGGTGAATCTAGTTTTAGTTTTCTTTCTAGTTGTTAGGATTTCAATGATTCTGATGTCTGATGTAAGTAAGGAACAATTATGGTTTTTAAGGATTCTGATTTCTGATGTAAGGAACAGTTATGGTTATTAAAGATTTCTGATGTCTGATTCTGGTTATTAAAGATTTATGATGTCTGATTATGGTTTTTAAGGATTTCTGATGTCAGATTCTGGTTATTAAAGGAACATATATTTATGTTTTTATGTGATTTTGTCTAAGCAGGACTTAAACGAAACCCTAAACAAACCCTAAACGAAACCCTAAACACACCCTAAACGAAACCCTAAACACACCCTAAACGAAACCTTAAACACACCCTAAACGAAACCCTAAACACACTCTAAACGAAACCCTAAACATACTCTAAACGAAACCCTAAACATACTCTAAACGAAACCATAACTCTAAATGATAACATAAGGTAAAACAATGAATATACATGTGTGTAGGTGTTCTTAGATTAGATTAGATCAGTCATATGTTGGAAAATCTATTCAATTTGTAATGAACATCATACCTTAGAGTACTCTTTACTAAACTTTTCGAGTTATTTGAATATTTTACCAACCTAAGAACTAAACCCGACATAGGATCCAACAGCCAACGAAACCCACCCAAACTAGATCCACAAGTGACCTAATACAACCCGACATATATAATAATCAAACCCGTTTTTTCCTTTTTTTTCTTCTAATCTTCTTTCCGCCTCTTTTCCGTTTCTTTCTGAAACCGTCTTTTTCCAATCATGAGCAACACAAGGCAATTTTCGCAGGGAGTGCCGTCAAGATGCTGGTGTGGGAGAGGGGTTGTGATATTCTATTCCAGAACGGATGAGAATCCGTTCCGGCGGTTCTATAGATGCGAAATAGGGGCACAAGTTTCGTTTCAAATTGTTTTTTTATTCAAATCCCCATTTATACTGTCTTCATATCCTCTATTGTCTTGTGTATGATTTTTTAGTATCTTTGATGTTTTTCGGAAAAATTTGCAATATGATGCAGCGAAAATCAGATTTGATTTTCGATCTGATGCAGTGAAATTCATTCTGATGTACTAACTTGAACTTTGTTTGAATGTAGCGGAAGAAGAAAAATCATTTATTTAAGTGGGTTGATGAAGCTTTGCTTGATGAGATTCGAAGGCTAGATGCTCAGCAATTGGAAATTACACAAGAGACTGAAGATCTCAAAAAGAGTTTGCAAAGTACAGTTGAAAAGGAAGTTAAGAAGCAGAAGAATTCACTTGAGTTAGGTAGTTTAGGAAGCATTTTATGGCTGTTTGGTAGATTGGGATGCCAGGAATGAATCAGTTTATTGTTTCTATAAACGAATTTGTGGTTTTTGAGTTTTCTTCTCACACTTAATATGATGATTACACTGAATATGTCGATTTCCGTGGTTCTTTGTGTTCTGTTTTATTCTCTTATGTTATGCTCTTAGTATGATAAACATGATTGTAATGTATCACAATGAAACTGACAAGCTGAGAAGTTCAAAACATAGAAGCAGAAAACATCATTCCTTGAACATAAAAATGTAAAACCGAGAATTCAAAACAAAGAAGCAAAAAACAGATCATTAAACGAAAAGCTGCTTCTCTTGTGGAAGACTATATTGGTACTCTACAAGTTTCCCTGTTGTGCCCACTAATTCCACATCTACTACACTTTCGAGGCTGCTTCTCTTATGATGTTTGCGAGGACCGAATTTTATCTTCAGCGGTCTCATATCTGCGTTTTCTTGTCCTTCCAGCTGCTTTTCTTGTGTCCGGTGGTAGCACATTGATCGCCTTAACATCTTCTTGTATGGACCAAGCATCCTCAGGAACAGCAATAGGATTTATGCTTTCCTGATAATCTTCTCTCCAAGCTCATGTCGTGTACATCGAATCAGTCAAAGAGTGTGGCTCTCTGCCAACATGAAAACCAGCTTTAATTGCGTGCCTACATGGGATTTTCATCAGGTCATACTTCTCGCATGAGCAAGTCCGTCTATCCGAATCAACTAAGCAGTCATGTTTATCACCTCTAACAAGTAATCGACCTTCACTGACAGGATAAACTGCAAATTTTCGGCCTTTCCTGGTTCTCCTCTCAATCTTTTTCTCCACATCTTTGGTCAGACTATGTTGATGCTTTGAAATCAGTTTCTTGCGCTTATAAAACCACCGTCTCAACCTTTCTCTGATACTGTCCAACAAAGGAATGATCAGATATTCTCTCGGTGTACGCAAAGCCGAGTTGATGGATTCAGCAGGGTTCGTTGTCCTTATGTCATATTTGTAGCCGGGAAATTTACATCGAGCCTATTTGTGCACATCAGCTACACTTAGGTAATTACCAATTGCCGGACTGATATTACACACGTCTGCAAATGTCTTTTCAAAGTCAGCAACCCTATAAGCCTTGGACGCCTTCGCAACAAACCAAGCAAGCCCTTTCCCATGGTAACCAGTTACCACATTATTCAACAGATGATGAATACAAATACCATGTAAAGCTGTTGGATACACGTTCTCAAGTGCCTTAACAATGGACCCATGTCTATCCGAAATGATAGCCAAGTGACGATCATCAGGAATGACAAGCTTTAGTTGTGTCATAAACCATTCCCAAGACCGATCATTCTCTAAGTCGACTACTCCAAATGCAATAGGATACAAATTATAATTTCCGTCTACAGCAGTTGCAACCAATAGAACTCCTTTGTATTTGTTCTTCAAAAAAGTTCCATCAACCACAATAACCCGTCTCATGACTCTGTTAAATCCTCGTATAGACTGCCCAAATGCAATAAACAGGAACCGAAATCTTCCATTACTGTCAATCTCATAAGCTGAATGTGTACCTGGATTAGCCTCTCTAAGCATGTGCAAGTAATTTGGTATTTTCCCATAACTTCTCTCTGGGATACCTCTAACTTAATTGACCGCATATTCACGTGCATCATATGCTAAAGAACTTGAGATCTCACATCCATGATCCTGAAGCATAATCTCAATGATATCATTTGTCTTTGGCCCTTCCTTCACGCCTTCATACTTATGCATAACCAGACTACTTATAGTGTTCGCTGAAGCAGCCCTACCCCCATTGTTTTTGCTTGAAGGTGCACATGTATGTTCACCAACATACTTTTTTATAGTGAAATATGCAGATTCCTTCAAACTCTCAGCTCGAACACTCCAATTGCAACCATTTTCTCTGCATCTAACATACCAAACTTGCCTATCCGATTTTATTACCTTATAGTCAAAGCTATGCTTCATTGCACATATCTCAAAAGTCTCCTTCAGCAACGTTTTGTTCTGAAAAAGTTGTCCCTTCTTAACAACATCGAGCAAAGAATACTTGTCCTATTTGTGTTGCTTCTCTTTCTCAGAGTTCATGGTATAAGCTTCATAGTCATCCTCTTCAGAGTCATCCTCATCAGAGTCGACTTGTTTCATCTTAAGTTTCTTCTTATTGCTTTGTGTCTCTAGATGAACATCAGCTGCGTTTACCTCCTCTTCAGTAGATATTGAATATGTTGGCGACTTGTTAAGATCGAAGTCTGCCTCATTCGGATTCTCAGCCTTTGCTTTATATGTTACACATAATCCAGTCGAGGGGTTCTTTTCAACAAAACCAACAAAATTCTTAAGTTGGCGATCATTTGCAATGAACACTGGTGGAGATGTTGATGTATTGATCAACCCAGCAGGTAAATAACTCAGTTCCATATCGGCTAACATATCTTCTTCCATATCATAATCCTCCAACACCATTCTCTTTAAATCCTCTAAGGTAGAATTTGCTTCCAATAATTGTAACCTTCCCCCTCTATCATCAGCCGAAAACACCCACCCCGTAGCACCTAATTCCCATACACCGCAAGTAGTATAGATGTGCATGGTACAAGAAAATTTGTGAAAATCAAAAGAAAAACAATGGAGGGAGGCTAGGTTAAGAGGGTTGAAGAAGCTATGGTTTTTTTTTTTGATTTTTTTGGCGTCAAACTTCGTTTCACGCATATAAGGAAGGTGGAGTTATGGACAAATCTTTTTGAATATTTTCCTAGATTTTTCCCCAAATTTTCGGAATTTTGTTTAGTTTTATCCGTAGAAGGTACCTTCTACACAGCGTAGAAACACAAACATGTTTCGAGAAGCACATTCTACTATATGTAGACATCTGCGTTTTAAGTAGATATCGTATTCTGACATTCGTAGAAGTGGATATAAACGTAGAACCTACATTCAGTATGTTTGTAGAAGTCTTTAAAAACGTAGAATATTGGTTCTAAAAACTGTAGAGATATGGTTTACGTGGAATATGAGTTCTACTATGCGATTTTTTGTAGAATGTGAATTCAACTCTCCGTAGAACGTATTAAAATTTTTAATTTACCAAAAAATATCAGTTTATGTATATAGGCATTTAATCACTTCTGTGTATTTTTAAATATTTTTTCGAGTCATAGAATTATTTATTTTATTAATTTTTATAAATGGAAAGGGTAAAAGGGAGAAAAAATGGATAAAAAATATTTTATACTAAGGGGACAAGAGGTCTGTTTTTCTGTTCTATATTAGCATAATTCCCTTAATAAATCTTAATCTTGATTTCTCCTGTTTTAAGACTTGGGAAATATGTAATTTGGACCAGATGTGACTGTGACCATATGTTTTTAAGAAAATAATTAGAAGTCTCTGATAAAGGAGCTCTATAGGTAGATATCCCACTTAAAAACGTCGTTGTTGGGATGATTTAGCGATGATTTATTTATGAGCTAAAACCACATAGAACTATTTACAATGGGCTGTTGAATAAGTTGCAATGGTAAGTTGAATAAAATTGGAAGGGTAACGCGGATTAATCTTGGTTGAAAAGCTTCAATCTGTTAAAATAATGACAGTGGGGACAAAATGAAATATATGGCAGTTATTGATTGGACATAAAATGTTTTTTAGACCTATAAATACATATGGTGTTTTCTTATTGGTTGTAATGATCTTTGGTATTTTATTTTCACCGAAGTTATTTGCGATCAATTATTTGATAGTAAAATATTTTATTTATCAATTATTTATATACCAAAATTATTATTTATGAAACTCTACAAATAGGAACTTATTTCATTTAATTTGGATAATTTGAAAAAAATATTTTTATTTTTGTGA